TTGATGGACCCCACCTTTCTCAGCCCGTTGGTCTCGGCCTTTGAAGACAGTCCGTGACAATGGGGCAACCTCGGAGGGTGCCGGTAGTAGTAGTAGTAGTAGTAGTAGTAGTAGTATTAGTAGTAGTAGTATTAGTAGTAGTAGTAGTAGTAGTAGTAGTAGTATTATTAGTAGTAGTAGTAGTAGTAGTAGTAGTAGTAGTGGTGGTAGTACTACTACTAAGTAGTAGTAAACACACAAAAAAAATGTGGAAACAACTAAAGTCATGGTTTCAAGGTATGATTTCAGAAAATGTCAGCTGCTGAAGCAGGTCATGTGACAACTAGTGCCGAAACAAGGCTCGCGACAATTAGTAGTTGGTAGCATCGGGGCATTGGGTCCCCGCGGGCATCAGCCTTTTCCCTTCCGCATGAGTTTCGTCTGAACCGTTCAGGCAAGACACCAGAAGCAGAAAGGACATCGAGAGATTATACTAAAAAGGTACTGTAAACCTTGAACACATTCATCAGCGGAGACACATGGGTAGTTCTCTAACCTAGGGTCCCCTTGAAGGTCCCTTTTTATAAGGGTGCCGTACTATATTGGGGACCTAAAAGGGGGCCCTGATTTAGAGAACTACCCACATGTTCTAGCCTTTGCAAGCGAAGGAGGGGTTGGCACGTCCTGACAAGCCGCTCGACGAGCTCACGGAAGGATGCATATCGCCTGTCCCGGTTCACCTGGCGGACATCAAGTGTACGGCTCAGGCACCTTAGTAGCGCATTTAGTCTTGGGGATAACTTCCCCATAGCTGTGTAGCAGTGGTACAGATACTTATGCCGAGGTTGTGATCAAGAGAGCCTGTGGCCACCAACATCACATCGCTTGCAACTTGAAGTCATCAGCATTGCCGCCTTGCGGCGAGTCCATCACTGTGCGAAGCCCCCTCTGCGGCCACGAGATCCAGTGACTCGGTGGATTTATGCAAGGGCAGTCAAGAGGAGCGCGTTGCCCGTCACCCAAGTGCTCGAGAAGTCCCAAGGATGCCGTGCCACGCCCGAGCCACGCTCGAGAAGTGGCAGCCCTGGGATGAGCAGGCCAAGATTCAACCCTAAACCCTGAACCCTAAACTCCTAAAAACAAATTCTTAAACCCTGAACCCTATAGGAGGCATGTTGGTTGAAGGTGCCCAAGGTTGTGGCTGTGCCCCAAACTTGCAGGCCATGGAGTCCCTGACGGCGCAGGGCATCCTGCCGGTGGCTGCAAGGCCCACGCAGGCTCCGTTGGACGATCACCTCATGGCCGCCATTCGAGGCTGCAGGCAGACCGTGAAGGCAGGGGCCCACTGAGAACTGACGAAACCACTCCGACCTTCAAAAGAAGCTTTCGCAGGAAGGTGGGCCATAGTTTGACTCCTACACCCTGCGCCCCCTCAACCCCTACACCCTCTAAACCCATCTAAACCCCTAAACCCTGAGCCCCGAAACCGAAGTGTCTGAGAGGTGGAGCGACCCTGCGGACACTCGGTGGAGTTTAACTGCAAGCAGCTGGTGCAGTTCCTGAAGCAGCAGGAGGTCAAGGGCCACTGCTCCGTAACCGTCGAGAAGCCACTGGCCTGTGGCCACATGGCCTCTGCCACATGCCGGAAGTTTCAAGATTACGAGCAGGGCAAGGCCACCATAAAGTGTACGCAGAAGCGTCTGACGGAGTGCTGGAATGCCGCAGCCTGCAAATCCAAGCGGCTCACGGTGGATTGCACGGAGTCGCGCAAGGTCTGCTGCGGCAAGGAGATCTCCTGGACCTGCGAAAAGTCACATACCTTCCACCTGAAGATCTGCCAGGATGGCAGACCATCGGAGTGTCCCTCCTGCAGCGAGGAGAGGCTCTCAGCTGCCATGGAAAACACGGCAAGTCATATGGACGACACGAGCCAGCCCTTGCCCAGCCTGGACGTCTTCGAAAGCTTGGCAGAGGAGCCACTGTGCGGAGTTCGGCATGGCAAGGGACGTGCTACGTGTAGTAAGTAGCTTGCAGATGGCCGCAGGAGTCGCAGAAGTAAGTCTTTAGTTGGATCGCGATTCTTTTTGCTTCTTCTGGACTGCGGGCATGCAGGAACCCTAAACCCTAAACCCTAAACCCCGGAGCCCCTAAAGCAGGAGATGCAGCCGACGGAGATGCCGGCCGAGATGACCAGCCGCTTCCTCGCGCAAAAGCAGATTCTGCTGAACAAGTTCCAGGAGCTTTCGGCCCGGAGCTCAGTCAGGCTTAGGTGGGGGTTCCACAAGGGTACTATGAAGAGTTCCATATGGTTCTATAGTGGTATATATTTTTTGATAGAGTTTTTACAAGAGTAGTATAAGAGTTTAGGGTTTAGTTGAAGGATCTGCCTCTCGGTTGAGTGTAACTGAGGGGCGGACGCCAGTTTGGCAGCGGGCAAGCTTCCAGGAGAAGCTGATCCCAATCTTTCACGTGCTGGAGGGTGCCGCTGCCAAAGAGGCCCATAAAGGACAGCTCCCGTTGAGCTGCCGCGAGTGTTTTCTCCAATGAGGGATCCAAAGAGGCTTCGGGATGGGGTCCTGATCGGGGGGAGTCGGGAGAGTGGTCACGAAGCTGGTGGCAGGATTCGCTCAGCTGGGCAAGTTCAGAAAGGAGTCGACACTTGGTGGAATCCAGGCGCGCAGATTGCATGGCAACGCCCGACGCAGGGTGGGGGGAGACAGGGGGCGGGGCAGGTGCATCGTCTCACGGCCGCGAACCTGCAGAGCTTGGCCACCGAGAAAGTGAAGGAAGGGACGGCCCATCTTCTCCTGGGCTACGCCTACTCTCTCAGCAGCTGCAGTGACAAATGGCCCAACAAGAAGAACAAGCAGGCCCCAGGGCCGAACTCTGAGTTCTACGAACCCTGAATAGCAGGGATCTCATGTCGGGCCGGTAGTTTCTGGGGATCCTTGCCTTACGCCGGCCTTTCTCCCCCAGGCTCCTAGCAAGTGGCGGCAACAAGGCTTCGACAGCTTTGAGGCCGAGGACCTCCCCGGCCCGAAGCGCTTCGTGGTGTGGGAGCCCTTTGCACTCTATGCCACGCACCACCTCCAGGCAGCCCGGCATGAACCCAGGGAGGCCCCCCATAAACCGACGAAAGACTGGCACAGAGCCGGGGGAGGAGGCTTTGAGCTTTACAGTCTTGCGAAGGCCCTGAGCATCTCCGAACCCTTCCGTTCGCAGCGACAGGTGAACAAGCCGATGCTGACGAAGGCTTGCCGGTTGTTGCACGGTGTTCGGGCTCCCTCTTCTCACAGTACATAACTCAACTTACTCGCGTGCGATCCGCAAGACTGGTGCATGTGCTTTCGGACGTTGCGAGAACCATGTGGTCGCACCCAGTCTCTTCTGTAAGTCTGCAAACATGACATCTTTGCACAATGGCTGCTTTTTGCTGGTTCTCTTCCTGAGCACGCTCGTTGCGCAGATGGTGCACCTCCTGGCCGCGGAGAGCCTCGTGGACTTGAAGCCGAGGCGAAGCTTTTGATGTGTCCCTGCGAGCTGTTCTGCCCAAGTAGAAGATATAGACGATGGCATCTGTGCCGCCTTGCCATGCTGCGAGTAGGATGCCTCGTGTCCGGAGGCATATCTCCTTCATCAAGCCTGAAGGAAAGCTGGTGCTTGGAACCTGCCAGGCTCGGGCCTAAGGAACACGCAGACAGCAACCTAAACCCCTAAACCCTAAACCCTAAACCCCTAAACCCTTAAGCCTTAAACCCTAAACCCTCAACCCCTAAACCCTGAAACCCGAAACCCTAAACCCTAAACCCTAAAGACGTCGGCAAGGTTCCTCTTGTAGGCTCTGGGACATGGCCGCTCTTTTACCGCTCCGCCTCCCTTGCGAGGCGGAGGAAGGCTGTGGAGAGGCAGAGCTTTTCGACGGCGCAACGTTCTCCGTCGTTCAGGCACGCTCACAAAACAAACTTTTTTCGTTCACCGTTGGTCTTGAAGACCACCCGCAATCGGGAGACGTCCTCACGAAAACAGCAGTTCCACAGATGCTGCTAGGAGGCGCCAGGATGGCTACAGAAGTTGGAAGCGGGTTGCTGGTTTCCGGACCCCTGGATACTACGGAAGCCGCACCTAAATCATAAGGATCCCAACTCACCCGTCCTTTTCGTAAAACCAAAACAGCTAACCTCACTTCCTACACCCGAAACTCCAAGCCCTAAACCATAAACCCTAAACCCTAAGCCCTAAACCCTAAACCTTATAAACCCAAAGCCTTAAACCCTAAACCCTATAAATCCTAAACCCAAACCATAAAGCCCTTAAGTTCTCATGCCAGGAGCTGCAGGGGAGCCCGGCCGAGGGGTTCTCGTTCCCTGCGACTTGGGATGGCACAGCTTTGGCCCCGGGTCGCTCGGCCATATTTTGCCATGCTCCCGGGCTGCTCGTGGGTTTTGGGGTTTGGGGTTTAGGGTTTAGGCCGTGCAGGTGAGCTGACGGAGGGGCAGGAGAAGGAGCTCGCGAAGAAGCTTTCCTTTGTGAACCCGGCCGCGGCGCCGTTTGCGGGGAAGAGTCTTCTGGACAAGCTCATGAAGGAAAGGGAGGCTCCCCTTCCTCTCTTGGACCTGCTCATGGCCCTGGAAGTGTACAACGCAGATGGCGATGTTGCCAGAAGCCATCTCGACAGCTACCTGACTTCCCTTCGAGCTTCTACCAGGCAGCGTTTTTTGCGGTCTTTGCGTGTCGGGCAGCCATGCCCTCTTGGTTTGCTTCCTGTAAGAGGCAGCCACTGGTTCGTTAGCCGCAGCAGTTGTTCCATTGCAGCTGTCGCACGAAAGCAGTGCTGCAAGAGTAATGTAGACCATCCCGGCCCGACCTGCAGGCAAGTCGCACATCCTTTGCTTCTCCTGGCGCTGCACCGTGTGGAGGTGGACATCATGCATGCCACGAGTTTGTCTTGTTACTGTTAGTTCTTTTGGTTATGAGCTTTCCTGCGTGCTTGCCGGTTCTCTGTGTTCCCACATGAGAAAAACGAGGGTAGTAATGACGGTTGAATGGCGTAGCTGTTGCTGTGTGAACTGCAGGGACTGCCCATCCTTGAAACTGCTCTCCACCGCTTCCCGGAGATGGAGCCGATGCTTACGAGCGACGAGAAGGCCCGCTGACTGTCCTCTTTGCGTCGTTCCGTGCATCCTTTCGGCGCCAGCTTGTTAAAGAGTTTCTTCGACGAGGGATAACTTCATCAGCCTCTTGCACTCAGTGCGAAACAAGGCTTTACGGAGTATGTCTGCGCAAGCTACGTTCAACCGCGGAGGTTGAGATAAAGACTTCGGGACATGTTGCATGTGTGTTGCTGTAGAGGATCTTTCGCACGCTGCTGCAGGATGAAATGGACCATAGACAAGACCCTGGTTCGGAGTAGTTTCATTGCAATGCCACACCTGCATACCCTCTCCATCACGAACCTTGCTTTTCCAGACCGCGCTGCATGCCCACGACGGCAAGCCCAAGGACCTTCTTGGCTGTGAGCAACCTGTGGTGTCGGTTCATGGTTCCTTTAAGATCCTAGAAAGGGGTTTTGCAGAGCTCCCTGGAGGGACCCGTCAGGGGTTCAACGGGGTTCCGATGTTTTGTCCACTGCCGACCCTATCATCTTCCTAAGCTACAAGACTTTGATGTTGCCATTGGCAAGTTCCCACCATGAAGATCTCGTATTTACAGGGCTCCTGTTCGTCGTGGCGTGACTTCCATAAGGTATGCAGGAGGAGTGCATACTAGAAGTTTAACATACCACGATATGCTGTAGAAACGCACGATAATTTACAGCTATTTACGGGCTGCCGCCAGTGCTG